TCTGTGCGTGTGTACCTGAGCGGCGGGTGAGGAGAAGATGAGATGGCGATTGGGGAGAAATCGGCGGTGTCTGCCAATCAATCTTTTGATACTTTGACGGCCTCTTAGCATTGCAGTATGAAATGAATAAATTTAATAAATGAACCCTAATTTGTACACACCCGAACTCAATCTCTAAAGACAATTGGGGTTGCGCGCGAAAATGGGTTGGACCGTTGGAGAGCCGGTCTCCCGCCACACAGCTTATACTCCGTATATGATTTGCTCTTTCTTTTCGGGTAAGAGTTGCTTCAATTATAAAACGAAAGCAAATAAAGTATGGAGTGTTTGGATGGATATGAACACTTATGGCCTGTTTCTACGGAGTGTTAGAGAGTGTTAGTAAGGGCCCAGAAGGGAAAGAAAGGGAAGTTTAAGTATTAGATATAATTTTAACTTATTTGGGAGAGTCACATGAATGAAGTGTTAATAATGGAAGTGTTAATAATTTTACCTTTAGGCAGAAGAAACGAGTAAGGAGAAGAGATGAAAAAGGCAGACCATTAGACCTGCGGCAAAGAGATTCGAAATGAGATGTCGAAGCATTTTATGTTTTTATGGTAAATGAGAAGGGTAATGATTGTCCAACACCTCAAAACACTCCAAATCGGGGTGTTAAAAAAGTGGACAATTAAGGTGTTGGGAAGGTTATTATTAACACTTACTAACTTTTACTAACACTTCTTAACATCTCTTAATTTTTCTCTCAAACAAATGTTAATATCAACACTTACTAACACTTTCATTACTAACACTCTCTAACGCTCAATCCAAACAGGCCATTAGTGACAAAGGTATTATTAATTGTGTGATAAAGATGTATTAGAGATGTTCTAATGATGTGTTAATTACAATGAGAATGACTCTTATTTATTAGAGAATGTGTGAGCTCAATGAGATTAGGAGATCATTGTGAGCCACACATTTATCACCTTGAAATCATAATTACGATTTCCTAATTATTTATATAATGGTGATAATAATTCTTAATCAGAAATAATTGGAAGATGCTTAATTCAATTATATTTCAACACTCCCCTTGAATGGGCATCTTCTAATTATTCTGGGTATTTGTTTCATAATATTATAATGTATTATCTCGTTAAAAACCTTGCTAGTTAAAGCTCAGATGGATAAAACCTGAACGATGGGAAAAGGAGTGCAACGTATTATATTACTCCCCTCAATTTAACGTATATCTCAAAGACGACACATTCCAATTTTGTGGACTAGTTCTTCAAAAAAATTCGACGCCAATGATTTTGTGAATAAATCAGCAGGGTTGTCACATGACTTGATTTGTTTGACATCAACTTTTTCTTCTTTCTCAAGATCATGTGTGGAGAAAATTTTTGGTGTTATATGCTTTGTTCGGTCCCCTTTGATGTGACCTCATTTTATCTGAGCTATACATATTGTGTTATCTTCATAAGTCACAGTAAGATCACAAGTAAAAGATTTTATACAGCATTCATTTTGTGTGTGTCGAACATTGATCTCAAACAGACACTCCCGACCTGCTTCATAAAGAGCAATTAATTATGAATGATTTGATGATGTGGCAGTTAATGCTGCTTCATTGATCTCCACGAGATAGCGGTATCACCATAGGTGAATAAATATCATGTTTGTGATTTTGCCTTTTGTGGACCACACAAGTATCATGCATCGGCATAGCCAATTAAAGTGGCATTTGCAACATTATTGAAATACAATCCAAGGTCGATTGTACCATTGAGATAGCGGAATATATGTTTGACATCATTCCAACGTCTTCTTGTCAGGAAAGAACTGCACTTGGCTAATAAACTCACAGAAAAGACAATATATGATCGGGTATTATTAGCCAAATACATTAATGCTCCGATAGCACTAAATTATGATATTTCGGGACCAGGGATTTCTTCATCATGTTCACAATGTCGTCATGCACATTGAGAGATCGAACAACCATTGGAGAATTGAGCGGGTGTGCTTTACCCATGTAAAAGCGCTTCAAAAGTTTCTCAATATAATTTTGATTGGTGGGTAAAAACACCATTTCTCAAATGTTCAATTTGAATGCTGAGACATAATTTTGTTCTCTCAAGATCTTTTATTTCAAATTCTTTCATGAGATATTTTGTAGTATTTTCAATTTCATTGGGAGTTCCAATAATGTTTAAATCATCAACATATGCTGCAATTATGGCGAATCCTGATTCAGAACGCCGAATGAAAGCACATGGACTAATAAGATCATCTTTATATCATTCTTTAATCAAATATTCACTGTGATGGTTATACCACATGCGCTCAGATTGTTTTAATCTGTATAATGACTTTTGCAATTTTATGGAAAATAAATCTCGAGATTTCGAGCTATAAGCATCAGGTAATTTAAAGCCTTCAGGGATTCTCTCTCTCTCTCTCTCTCTCTCTCTCTCTCTCTCTCACACACACACACACACACACACACATATATATATGTCTCTATATATATACATATATATATATATATGTGTGTGTGTGTGTGTGTATCAAGCAAACCGTATAAATGTGCGGTCACTATATCCATCAGGCGCATTTGAAGCCTTTCAAAAACAGGCATGTCAATTAAAAAACTTAAAGTAGTAGCATCAACTACTGGAGAATACGTCTCGTCATAATCGATTCTTGGCATTTGAGAAAAATATTGGGCAACAAGTCAAGCTTTATATCTAACGATTTCGTTTTCTCGTTGAGTTTACGCACAAAAACTCATTTAAAACCTACGAGGTTTACACCTTTTGGCGTATGGACCATTAGTCCAAAAACATTACGCTTTTTTAGCGATTTTAATTCTACCTGAATTGTTTCATTCCAATTTGGCCAATCATTTTTACAACGACATTTGTCAATAGATCTAGGCTTATTGTCGTCATCATGTTCATTCATTATATATGTTGTAATGGCATAAGAAAATATATCATTAGCATCAACATCTTTTCTATTCCATTAGAAACGTAATTAATTGAAATTTTCGAAATTATTGATGTTTCTATCTTTATCTGGAATATTTACCTCTTTTGAGGTACCATTATTAGATGTTATATTCAAAGCTTATATTTTCGAAATGTTCATTTTCTTCTTGAGAAGATTGAACTTCTCTGGCATCGCAAACTTCAACTTGATGTTTTTTACATATCATATACTACCTCCGTCCCTTAAAATTTTGCCAAAGTTGACCGGCACGGAGAATAATAAAGTAAAAACTGTGTGGTTGAGATTTGTGCAGAGAAGAGAGAAATAACAGAAACCACAAAATAATTGGTTAAAAGGGAAAGTGACAAAAGTTTTTGGGACGTCCCAAAAAGGAAAGACACAAAATTTTAAGGGACGGAGGGAGTACTCATTAGCAAAAAATCTTTCAATAATCTCCGCAGGAATTTATATGAAATAATGGTAGGCGTGTGACTACCTCTCTTTCAATTTCCAAAAATATAACTAGTTCCCCCTTTTCCAAAAATGTGATCCGCTTTTCATCTTCGCACAAGACCAACCAACCCAGCCCAACAGATCTCTCTCCGCCATCACAGTTCCCCCTCCGCACGCAGAAGCAGCCATTGACGCAAGACACAACCTCCTCACCCGCCAGACTTATCTATCCGCCGCCACGACAACGCCATCGTCGGCTCTGCCGCTCCCCTCCTCCGCCACTCCGTTTCTCCGTCGTCAGCAACCTTTCGTCTTCTTCTCCGGCGACGGCTTCGATTTGGGACTGCACGACTCGATTTGGGGCTGGCAGTTCCGGATCCGCCAACATAGGTGGAAGACGACCAAGATTTTGGCGCAGTTGATGCCAGATCTGCCAGATCCACTATCCTCGATGTCGGAGCTCAGCCTGAGGGAACGGCAGGGGGCGCTGCAGGGGAGGGTGTCGGGGACCGGGAGTAAGGGGCTAGGGGTTCACTTGGGGTTCTGGTTCCAAGGGCTAGGGGCAGGGGCTGGGTTGGGACTGTGTGTCTAGAGCTCGGGCAGGGGAGGGGGCTGGGGTACAGGATGGGGGTTGTGGACCGGGAACAGTGTGGGTACGTAGTAGGATGGGTAGAGCGATGTTGTTGGTGCATGGCAGGGCGGCAGAAAACTTTCCGACGATCGGTCAGTCACTGTGGTCGGAGTTAGTCATGGTGGTGGGCAGTCACTGTGGTAAGTGGCCGGCAGTCACTGTGGTAAGTGGCGGGCAGTTCTGGCGTCGTCAAAATACGGACTACTAAACAAATATATAAATAACTGACTTTTAGTCACATTTTTTGAAAATATTTAAAAGAGGTCACAATTTTGTCTTTTTAAATAATTTTAGTAATATCTGAATAAAAAGGTCAATTTATATTCTAGAAGCTAGGGGCATTCACACTTGGAATTGTGACTTTGTCACTTTCTTTGAGTATGTGAAAGTGTCACAATTGGTTTGTAACATTTTGTAATTTAATGATCTTTTGAATTTCTTGTTCACACGAATTTGTGCGTGAATCAAGGCAAGATAAATTTGTTACATTCTAAGTAATATCTTTCGTACACCCTATTGTCTCTCTCTAGGGCTGGGAATATTTTCTCAATAAAATTACAGTCATCAAATCGTATGGTGAATAAATCAGCAGTTATAGGTTCTAGATAGTTTATAATTGAAGGAGATTTAAAATCAACATAAATCCTGATCCTTCTTTGAGGATCTGTTTTAGTACGATAAGGTGGAGCAATTGGTACATATACAACACAGCCAAATACTTTTATGCGTGATATATTTGGTTCTTTACCATATACTAATTACAATGGGGAAAATTTATGATATGCAGTTGGTCTAAGCCGAATTAAATTTACAGGATGCATTATAGCATATCACCACGCAGATGATGATAATCTGGATTTCATCAATAATAATCTAGCAATTAATTACGATTGCTTAATTAAGGATTTAACAAGACCATTTTATGCATGTACAGGTGAAACATGATGTTCCACATCAATCCCAATTGACATGAAATAGTCACTAAAAGATTGTGAATTAAATTCTTCTGCATTATCAAGTCGGATTTTATTTATTAAATAATCCGGAAATTGTGATCTCAAACGAATGATTGAGCAAGGAGTTTTGCAAATGCAAAATTCATAGTCGATATGCGGCCAACGTGTTGATGCATCAATGAGCACCACAAAATATCGAAAGGATCAACTCGGAGGAGCAATTAGCCCGCAAATATCTCCTCGAATTCTTTCTATAGGTTTTAATGGATTTTTATAGAATTATATATAATGTGTGAGATTCATAAGGAAATCCATGGAATTTGAAACCCCCATAAATCCATGGAATTTGAATCCCCGATTCTCTGCACCTTCACGATCCGCTGTGGAGGGCCGCTACTACTGCTAGAACTATCCCCAAGATTAAGGATGCGCTGTAGTGGGCCGCTGCTACTGCTAGAACTATCCCCAAAATTAACGATGGGTTGTGGAGCGCCGCCGCTACTGCTAGAACTATCCCCAAAATTAACGATGCGCTGTGGAGCGTCGCCGCTACTGCTATAACTATCCCCAAAATTAACCACTCTCCAGTTTCCTCTCATTCGCATCACTCAAACCCCATATGCCCTTTCCGCCGTGAAGGTGTGATTGGACACCCACTATCATATGCGAAGGGAAAAAACACCCATAAAAAGTGCATATCCATATCTTGTCATGGCTATCTTGACTTCCGAAGCGGCTACCACCAAACTCTCGCACCATGCAAGACAGTAAGGAGCTGTGATAAAAAAAATGACACACAAGGAGAGAAGCAGCTTACCAAGCCACTACATAAGTTATGATGATTTTCAAATACGAGGGGGGTCGAATGTTTTACGATTGAAATCCATTAAAATCCTTTAAAATCCATTACAACAAATAGTAACTGAAATTCATGGAAATATTGAGGACACCCATATTTTAATGAAATCCATTGAATTCCAAATTGAAAGCATCTAGATTGTGATGAGTTCTGAAATCTTTTAAAATTCATATAGGGGACACCCCTAAATTGATTTGACGTTTATAAATAAGGAACGAGAAAAATCTCGAGAAATGCTACCAATTCAATGAAACCTTGTTTTTTAAGGATTAATTTTGTTGATAAAACATAATCAGAAAAACGTAACTCCAGCTCGACAAATGATAAGATGCTATTTAATCTTCAAGTATGTCGTTTTAGATAATAATTTGATAAAATGTATTTAAGGGTGGGTAAACCCCGAGACAACATTCCCCATTAAAGAACACTAGAGCCTGTTTACTAACAGAAATATTTTCCCGTTTTCTACTCTTGTTTTTCGTTCTCCAAATTTCTGTTTTTATTTTTCAATTTTTCTATCTCCAGATTTTTGTTTCTATTTTCTAGTTTTCCATTTTCAAATCTGAAAACATGTTCATCAATTTTTTCACCCAGTTATGTGATCATCCAGAAGACTGACACGTTTACTTCACGGATTACTAAATGGTGCTTATTAAGACTCGCGTTAATAAGCGACACATAAAATAAGCAATGTTATAAGATCATGTTTACTTCAAAAGGTTTAAAACACCGTTTAACATTAAAATATCCAAAATAACCATATACATATATAGACACACAAACGTTCCTAAACACAAATATATAATATAATATGTGGGGTCGATCACCTCGTACGTGTACCCATACTCCTAACCCCTACCCTACCCATGTACCTCGTACCCCCACCCTACACCCAATTCCTCACCCTTGACCCCTACCCCTACCCTTACCACTGAGAGTAATGAGCGAAACTCCCTTGAAGTTTAGGTATGGGTGGGGTGGGTGGGGGTGGGGTAAGGGGTATGGTCGGGGGTGGGGTGGTAAGGTCTAGGGGTACAGGGTTGGGGTGGGGGGTAGTGGGTGGGTTAGGGTGGTGGTTAGGGGTAAGGGTGGGGGTAGTGAGTAGGGTTTGGGGTTGGGGTAAGGTAGGAATAAGGTAGGGAGTTGGGATAGGATGGCGGTAGGATGGGGGCGGGATCAGGGTGGGGCCGAGGTAGGGGACATGTGGGAAGGGGTAAGGTAGGGGTAAGGAGTAATATATGAGGTGGGGGTAAGGGTAGGTCGGGTTGGGGTGGGGTTGAGGTGGTAAGGGGTGGCGGTAGGGTAGGGTGGATCGGGGTGGGACCGAGGTAGGGGCATGTGGTAGGGGGTGGGGGTAGGGTCATTGTAGGGAAAAGGGTATGCGGGGTGGGGGTTGGGTGGGCAGGGTAGGGGTAAGATGTAAGGTACGAGGATAGAGATACTATAATGAAATCGACATCGGAGCAGGACCGGACCCACCACTAGGTGTAAGTATGCAAATTCATTGCAGCAGCCTGTAGCACCCGCGTTTTCCAAAATTGGAAAACTATTAAAAGTCACTTCTCCAAATCATTAAGTAAAAGAGAGACATGTCTCATTTTTTCGTTTTGGAAAACGATTTGGTAAACACGTTTTTCTGTTTTCCTTTCTCTAGTTTTCCGTCAATTTTCTTTGGTAAACACGTTTCCTGTTTTCTAGTTTTCTGGAAAACTAGAAAATATCTCTGTTAGTAAACAGGCCATAAGAATTGTTATTCAAAATATTGTGTGTAGTATTATTACTTTCTGAGGTTGTTGGATTAGTTCATGATAAGGAATAATTACTTGATCAACAAGAGCACCATTCAACTAAGCCTGAATGAACCTAACCCTCGTTTAAATAAAAAAAAACAATTTTATAATTTAATACACATCTTAAAAGAAATGAGAATCTAAAGGCAACACGATCAGTTATTTAAAGTGTTTTCTTGCACACAACGATGTAGAAATGACAATGGCAGCTAGCGGGTTGTTCGACCAGCTTATATTAGATCTTCACCCGTGCGTTGCACGGGATGCAATTAGTTGAAGTATATGAAAAGATAAAAAATGAAGGTCAAATACATACATTTACGTAGGGGTGAACAAAAAAACTGAAAAATCGAAACTGACCGACAAACCGATTGAAACTGAACCGACCAAAACCGAAACCGACTCAAACCGAAACTGACTCAAACCGACTAATCATTGACAGTTCGGTTTACGGTTTCACCTTTTGGGTTAAAAAACCGACCGAACCAAAACCGACCGACAAAACCGACAAAAAACATGCTAAAACCGACCGAAACCGACCAAATCGACCAAAAATAACCGAACCGAAACCGAACCGAAACCGACTCAAGTACTGCGGTTCGGTTTTCGGTTTCACCTTTTCAAAAACCGAAACCGACCAAACCGAACCGACCAAACGGAAAACCGCATGATTTGCGCATCAATATCGTATGAATCTCACATTTGTAATTGAAGCTTCATAGCGAGTAATAGTAAAAGTTAGTATTATTACCACTATTTGAAAAGAGTGGTAATTTTTAAAAGAAAAAATTATGTGTTCGATAAAAAAAGGTGTAATAGAAAAAATGAAAAACGCATCTCCTTAGATCCATTTTTTGCATATTTATATCATTTTTTCATATTTATATCCGTAAATCCATTGCATATTTATATCACTATGAGGTTATGCAAGAAATGCACCATTGGCGAGAATCCCATTACACATAAATTATCAAATGGTTGTTGTATCCTTGCATAAATGGATGTATGATGTCTATAGGGAAAGGAAATATTTGGAGAAAGTCGTACTTTTAGTCCTTCAAATAGTCATCATATTGAAATGTTAGACCCATATTCCTAAGGTTGTAAGTGTCACCATTCAATTGTGTAAATTGCTGTAAATGTGGTCCTTTGACGGGTGAAATGTACAATGTGGGGAAGAGTACATTTCACCCTTTAAAATACCACATTTATAATAATTTGGACAATTGAGGGGTGACACATACAATATCCAAAATATGGGTTTAACATTTGAATATGATGATTATTTGAGGGACTAAAAGTGCAATTTTCTCGATATACTTCTAATTTTATAAAGATGGTGCACACCATGGCCATGTAGTCAATCTATAGATAATAGTATAAGAGAAATGCTCGGTACACTTGGGATTATGCATCTTCCTGAGGTGGGAAGAAACATGGTGTGATACAAAAAGCAGCGTTCCAGGGGACTTTCTCTCCCTCAATGCATCGTTAATGGTGGACTTCCTTTATTATATCAGCTGACCTGCATATCCCGTTGTAGCTCGTATCAAATGAGGCAACACAAATGTTGCCTGGCAGTGCCCTCCATTCACAATCTGCACCAAAATGGTGTCGTGAAAGTGTGAAACTATGTATCTTAATGCATAGTTTATCACTTGTATTATTAGGAACAAACTCACAAAATATGTCCAAATCGACAAAGTTATCTAAATCTAAATATCTATGGAGTATTAAATTGGGATTTCGAGTTAGAAAGACTACTCTTTTCAAAATGGATAATATTTTCAGAAAAAGTTGGACAATATTTTAAATTAGGAATATCCTAATTTTGATGATACACTGTTTTAAAAAAAGGATACATCTCATCCGTGAGGCCCCCCAACACCGACCAAACGGTACGTTGGGAGGATGTAAATCGGACTATAATCACAATCTAACAAATAGAGAGTGAGGCTTTATCCTCTGTACTTGTAGATCTGATGAATTCAGCATTCAGGATGTGATGGACTTAATTTTGAATAATTAATTCAACATTCTGGTTTAGGCAAACACAAATGAATTTTGAAAGTTGGTTTAGGAACTCTTTAAATTTTAGGAAAACCCTCAAATAAAAATGAAAGAATTGCAAAAATATTACTCATAGAAGGTGGATGGACAAAAATATAACTAATGCACACTTCGATAGAAAAGTAAGTTAAAGTAACTCTCTCAGGCGCGTCTCTTCTGCTTCTGGAGGACCTTTCACGTGCCCGCTGGATACCTGCTCTCACGGTGTTGGCTGCCTCCCACCGTGGCTGCTGCAAGGCTGCTATCCTTTCCGACGAAACCTCATCTTTCCTCCGGCGGCGCCTCATCTGTCCTCACGGCGGTGCCTCATCTGCCCTCACGGCGGCACCTCATATGTCCTCACGGTGGCACATCATCTGTCCTCACGGCGGCGCCACACCTCTCCTCACGGTCGGAGTCCATTCTTCTTATCCTGTATCTGGCTTCGTTTGGAGACTTACAGAGAGGATCTAGATTCGGATGCTCGAAGATCGACGGGAGACTATGGCGGTCGACGAAAGATGACGATTACCCACGGTTGGTTGCAATGGTGAAGTGTAATGACGATAGCCGTTGGTTTTCTTCATTGACATCGCTAAACTGTGACTAAGGTGGGTGACAGAAGATTTAGATCAGAACTGTGACTAATTAAGGTGAGTGACGGGGTCGTGGATTTTGGTTAAGCTCAGATCTGGATCTGGATCCATGGCGCTATGGTTAGATCTAGGGTAGTGGTACGGGTTCTGTTGCGGTGGGAGGGCTGTGGGGTCATGGTGGGCATCGGTGCGGGGTTGATTGGGGCTTGTTTGGCGATTACAGGGCTAGAGGTGGGATGAGGCTCGGCCGGCGGCCGGCAGCGTCATTTACCGGAGGTGACGGTGTCTGAGGCAGTGCAGAGACGATGTGTGTTGTGTGGTGATGGGGAGTGATGGTGCAGTGTGGTCACTGATGGGCGACAACGGTGGAGGCAGCGCTGGCGGTGCTTTGGCGGTGTCGGCTGGGTGGCGGTCAGATTTGGTCACTATATATCTTTTGCCGGAAAATTTCACCGGATTTTTTTTAGACGATGTCAGTGACACTTGTGGAACGTTAGTGACCCCGACGGTGGCGGCAGTGACACCGACGATGGCGGCAGTGACACCGACGGTGGCGGCGATGACATATGCAATAACATTAGTGACATTATGTAAGTGATAATAAAATCTGTAGTGACAATAAAATCCGAAAGTGACATTCCAGAAGTGACATGAATATA